GCAAATATTCACAAATACTTATACTACATATAATATAAAAAAAATTCAGCCAAATAAAAAATGGTTGGGTCCGAAAGTGATCGAAATGGCTTGGAATGCCACATATACGTATAAATATATACATGTATAAGCCTATCCATATACATATAGATATTTATAATGAAAAATTCATTTGGTAATATCAAACCTACTGTTTCATTTAGTCAAACTTGTTCAATAGACATAGAGGAAACGAATATTTATGGGACTGACTGTATATCGTATTCGAAACTATTTCAACACTCACAATATGGTTAATCCACATATCGAGCAAGCTCTCCAAGAATTTATTACTGCTGAGAAGACTACTTTTGTTTAATTGTTCCTGTCTTAGATCACAATCGTCGTGCATCGGTTGCATGAGAGCGCAAATGCAATCTATAGCAGCCTGCGTTACACCACAGTCTTGTTTGTTTAAAGCTTTTACAACTTTGTGCCCTATAGCTTCCCTGAACCCGGGAAGAGTTGTAAACGCGGTGAAACCAATTTTACTAGCAACCAATCGTCTCAAAGCATGAAACTGCGCCTCTATTTCGCTGTTCGTTTCCAAATCTTTATTGACCAACGTTTGTAAAGCACCGAGAATGATTTTATCTTTGTTTTCAGTAAAAAGACCCTGCAAGTAGTTATTCACTTTATGAATTATTTGAAGTTGCATTGTAACTACAGTCCATTCAAGCGGTATAACATCCTAAACAAAAAAAGGAAAACACTTGCAGTTTGTCGTACGATCTATACATTCATGCAAATAGACGTAGCTTAGTTTTAAATTTAATAATGCTCGAGAGTACCATACGAAAAAAGAAATAACGACGTTAACCGCTACATGTAGTATAGATGTAAGTTTAAGTCATGTCATGTACGCATTTATCCAATCACAATTGAATTTCTTTACTGTGAATCATCACCGCTTCAATGTACTGCAACGATATATACACATATATATATATATCCACATAAGAACAAATACAAGGTTCAACACTACATGTAACAGACATATGTGGATACAGTAAGTCCCCGAATTAGGCGGATTCGTATATACGCGGTTAAGTCCTCATATTTACATATGAAGCAATTTTTTTGTTCTCAATTGACCTGTTTAAGATCAGTTCTTACTATTGCGCTATTAAGATTTTTTCGATAAAGGCCCTAATCAAACATTACTCGACTACACAATTCTCTCGCCGGTGATACCATGTCGTTCGTAAGTTCGAGAAGAAATAAATCGCGAAAGTAGAGGACTTATTGTAATACTAAATACATTTAATTCGTCTTACATCTTGCGTCACGGAATAATTAAGACCACTGTAGGGGACATTTGCATTAAATCTTTCCAGAATTTCAGCGAAAGTACGTCCACTGGGTGGCTGCTGAAGAAACTTAACGTGTGACGTTTCAACCTCCTCGTCAACAGGTAAATTGAGAGGTCCGAGTCTTTTCCCTCTAGCTATTAGATACATTCCGACATGGACATCTCTGTTACCAGACGCTCTAACGCCATCCAATAAAGACGCTAACAAGGAATCCCTATCTGTTGCAGTGTAACTGCGCGTTTGACCGTTGAGGTATTGTATAGTAAATAGTTGTGGGTTCTCGTTATCACGGATCAACGCAAAAATATCCGACAAAGGTCTAAGAGTACAAACATTATATGTCTGAGGATCTCTCTCCAATAAACAAGTATCCGAAAGACAAAGAGTTCTTCTCTGAGGATCTATATGTCTAGATGAATATTTGTGAACAGTGAATTCTGATACACTTGTTATATGTTCGTCACCGCTAAATTTGCCCAATCTCTGGGCAACGAAATCATCTAGTTTGATTGGTTCTTTCAAAACTTTTATGTTGATACCTAAATTGTTCATAGCTGATTCCAGCAGCTTTTTCTTTATTTCATCCATATGCTGAGAAGCAAACAGATGCAAACGTCCAAATCCGCCACACACTATTACAAATCCATTGGGATAATCTTTCATTGTAGCAATCCCTTCGAAATCTTTATAACAATAACTGGCTAAAACCATGTTTGTTGCAGGATCTAATTGGTCAAGACTATATGGTGTCACTTCTAATACAACAGGTAATCTCGTATCAGACCAATGATGCTTGTAAGCTTGGTACCTCTATTGAAAAAAAAAATATTATTGTATAATCACGGTAATTATATTATTATATAATTAAATTACTTAGAACTCCATTTATCTAAACGAAATTTGATTTATTAAATTTATCGAATCTCTGTACTGAGCTCTTATTAATAGAAAAAACAGTGTGCAGTGTTCCAATTAGACGAACACTTGATAATCCCCTCTGTATTTCAATAGGCCAATGAAACTCATTACATTACTATTATGTTTTTAAGTTGTCAGTATATTCTTCTCACAGTATATTGTCACATTACATGTGAAGTGCAACTTATATGGCTCATATACGGTGAACCAGCAGTATTTTTATCACAAGAGTATAATGTTGAAACATCAGCAAAATCTAATATGAAATTTAACAAGGATAAAATACCAAAGTTTAAAGCTGGTGTGGGAGTAAATAGTAAAAAGTAAAAAATAGAGATGATGTCATGAATCACATCTGAGTCATGTTAATGCATTGATTAATAAGTGGTTTGAAACACAAATGGAGCCAAACACAACCGACTTGCAATATCTTTAAAATTCAGACTTTGTGTTTATATAATATTTAAATAAATTTAATTAATTTTATATACCATGAATGAAAGGTGTTTTTAGTAGAAAAAAATAAGCGATTGCTTCACTAAGTATTGGCATATTATATTTCTTCAAATTTAATAATAGATTTGTAAAGTCTGAAATATTGATTGACTGAATTAATATGCTTAATTATCAAAATATAAGACTTTTATTTGAATAAGAAATTATTGGTAGGGGCTTAGATTTGCAAACTCCTATTATCCAAATATATCAGTTATTCGAACCACGTTGTCAACAAATATATTTAGATAAATAGAGTTCTTACTGTATTCATTGAATTATTTGAAATAAACTCTTTAGGCTTTGTTCAGCTGGAATGCTATATAGAACATTTTAATCTATACATTATTGACCATATGGCTAGACTGATAACAAGCCTGATTAAACTTCGATTCTAACGTTTCGCTATAAGCATTACGTAAGGAACACGTAACTCACCAAAATTTCTTTGGGCTTTTCGACAAATTGATTCCTATACTTAAGAGCCTCTGTTAATAAATGAGCTCTATATTCTGAACTAAATTTCATATTGTCAACTTTTCGTTCTTTGCGCATTGTTATACTAAATTCGTGCGAACCCAACTGATTTCTGTTAGTTGGTTGCACGCTTATAAAATCAGAGTATTCCCATTTGTTTGTGACTTCTAATGTAGTAGGATTATATGTTGTTATACCCATGGATCCAATCGAGAAAATACGTTTATACCTATATCACAAGAAATAAGTATTACTTCTCTTTGATACTGGTATCATGTAACAAGCTTATTATTATGTGAAGTATCTATGATACAGCAATAGTTTATGGTAAGTAACATGTATTTTGTAAACATGTTCATTCCTACGATAACGATTTCTATTAACCAAAAATTTTTTCAGTATTCTCAAAAGTACGTTTAATGATTCCAAAAGTTATTTTCAATGTGTTAAACTGCATAGACGTTTCTTATCATTTATTTAATATTCAATAGTAATATATATATAGCGAATAGATTAGTAACACCATTCATAATATTGATACAAGTTCATACTAACGATTCTAGTAGTTCCTCACTATACTGCATATGTAAATAAGAAAGATTTATTTATCTTTTTTTCCATTATATCGTTATAGTAATAATCGTGAATTATTTGAATGTTACAGATGAATTTCGAACAATGGAAAACATGTTTTGTGACAAAGATTCGTTTTATTTTACAAATAATCCAACAGGTATTCTAAACTATATGTATCTATCTAATCTTATTGCTTGTCAGAAGTTAATTACGAGTAGTTACATCGAATTTTACAAAATTAACGAAACGTTCAACGCGGCACAAAGATAAAGAAAGAATCACTTACTTCCCCTTCCATGAGTGTTTGGTGACCAGAAAGCACGCCACATCCTGGTTATCCTTTATCGGCATCATTGTAACATGTCCTGACAATACAACACGCGTATTATCTCGAATAATGGTTTAACAAAACACTGGTTACCGTCCGTAAAAGAGAAGTAGCGTAGGAAGGACATTCGCATACGAATTGAAAAAAGAATCACATGAAAGTTGTTTCCGAAACCGTTGATACGAGAAATACCGAATACGCTTTAATCGCGTGCACTATGCGTACTTTCGTTTAATAAATGAATGGAATTTAGGCACTGTTTGATCGTGTTTCACCCAACAAATGTCATTTTCAACGGCTCCACCAGACTGGAAGCGGCCATGATGCTCGGGGGAGTTAACGAACAGCTGTTTCTAGATGGCAGACCAGTCAGAGTACAAAACTTCACTTATTTACGTACTACAGTGTTCCTCAAACTGGTGTTCGTGAGCTTTTAAGCACAGGGCCGTGATAAGACAGAGGCAGACAAATATAAAGCCACGTGTCTATATTAAAAGGTCAGTTCACTCGCCATAATTCAAAACTTAAATTTCAGGTCCGATAATTTCTTATCCTTTCGTTTTTGATTCATTATATTCACATTCATAGACATTGCCACGAAAATAATTGCATTTCTTTTGACTTTTTCTCTTAGAAATTTCGAGATTACAATTTTTCTTGACAACAATGCAGGAAATTCATATCTCAATTTTACGTAAATACGGTTCTATTCAGTAATATAGAAATAGTTTCACTTGGAATTCGAGTACATTTTTTAATGTATTTGTATATGTATTCAGTAGAAAAGGAAATGGTATGGGATCTATGAGAAATTTGTCTTCACTGAGGAGGTTCATTCAAAACTAGCCCTTATTAAAGGGACCGTGGAAAAGTCATGTTGACAAACACTGACGTACTACATACGAAATACGCGCTTCTGTTTTTCTTGCTTGTGCTAATGTACTTTCTTCGGGGCAGTTTTCTACATTAAAGAAGAGAATACGAATTTTAGAAATAATACGAAAGGTACAAAATCATAGCATAATCAAAAATATATATTCACTAAATGATTGAGTAATTACTATCAATATGATTACGTTACTGCTATGAATCGTAGGTTTATTGTGACATTTATTTATTCGTGTAATCACTTGTTTTATGTGTCATGCTTGAATGAAAGTACGTGGGTAAAATATTGTAATTTATGAGCAAAATTTAACAGATATTTTATCTGTTTAATTACTCAATTTGAAATGTAAAAGTGTGCACTGTATATCATGCAATCTATCAATCTCATTTACTTAATTTGTATTCCATTTATGTCTATTTACAAAATCGGAGTAAAATATTTGTACTTTACAACTCGAATCGTAGAATTGTAAATTGTAACGATTAGTTAATTAAAGTATCTGTATTATGAGGTATAGGTTATATAAGAGAGACTATGCTTTTGTTACTAATTGAATGTTAAAATGTAAACATGTAAATAATTCATAAAGTATGTGTGATATATGGAACTTTGAATGATACATTATCTCGTTCTTTTCAGTGTTTAAAGTGAAAAATGATAGACAATAATGAGCCTAGTGAAAGTGACGAAGGAGAAATAAAGTCTGATTTTGAAGAAGATTTTCAAGAAGAACTATGTAATCTCCCTCATGTTCTGAGGTTTATTCAAAGAATGCGAGAACATATTAAAAAGCAAAATAAAAAGATTTCTAAGTTACGGAATAAACTTAATGAACACGTATGTATTACATTTCTTATCTTTTTCATTATGTTTCATAAATTTTATTTCATACCTTGACTTATACATTCATTTATTACAGAGGAATCAGAAGTTACTAAAAAGTAAAACATTAATCGATTATGGAACTCAAACAAATCCTTTAGAGTATGAAAAAGAGCCAGATTCCTTGCATAATTGGGCCATTAACAGTGATACAACATCAGCTAGTATCGTAGATCAAGTAAAAGAAGCAGCAGAATCTGCTCTGTTGCAAACTGGATTTGTTTACGAGGAAACTTCTGGTCTATATTATGATTATAACAGTGGATATTATTATGATGCAGTAAGTATTTATTGAAGTACTACAATATAACACATACCTTTAAAAGTAATATTTAAATATTGTATAAAAAATGTGTTTCAGAAACAAGGCTTATATTATAATGGCAATTCAGGTACATATTATGTCTACGATAAAGCTACTGGGATATTTCAATTCCACAGTCAAGCGCAAGTAGCTGTAAATGAAGCATCAACGAATTCACAAAGCAAGAAGGAGCAGAAAACTAGAAAGGCAAATAAGGTTGAGATTTAGCCTTATCTAAAATATTTCTACGAGAGAATGATCACAGTTGAAAATTTTGGGTTGCAGGTTTTGGATGACATACATGAGTTAATAGACGGCCTTTCAAATATATCAATTGAAAAATACAGGCGTCAAGCTCTAGGTAATTATCCTATGCTTTTAATATGCACACATGTCTCTCTTGTAGGATGAGGGGAAAACACGCAAACTTGCGAAAAGAGAAGATCAATTGGAAGATAATGAACTTGAGGAGGGGGAATGTACAAGCAACGATAACGACAGCAATTCTAATGACATTACACCAGAATTATGTACTAGTAGTGACAGTGACCACGAAGAAGATCAAGGTTTATTTTTGATTTGTTTTTTAAAACTCCATTTTCTATGACATTTGGAAGCTTTTTATTTCATTGTCTGACATGTTAATATTACATAAAAATCGCGTGACAACAACTGTTTTATATTTTTTCTCTTAATATTTTATATAATGATATACCTATTTAATATTATACATATATATGCGTTTGCAAATAATATTTGACGTATTGATACGGGCATGTGTATATTACTTCATTTACGTTCGTACTGACCAAACATATCATTATTTTAGTTTTATTATTTTATACTAATCAAATGTTTTACTTAAGATTTGGCGAAGATATATCCACCGTGTATGAGAATCATTGCGAAAGAAACTGATTTGCCGAAATTGAAAGTTGGAAGTCTTTTCGTCGTTGCATATACGGGCGGCTCAATCGGTCGAGAAGGCGATCATTCGGTAGTTATACCAGACATAAACGTTAGTAAAGTAAGTAGTAGCAAGTGCATATATTTGTTAAAAAAATAGCAATGCAAAATAATGTGTTACGAACTTTGTATGTTCCAGCATCATGCTCGATTTGTATACGATGAAGATAAGAAAGTTTACCAAATCATAGATTCGGGGTCCAGAAACGGCACGTTCTTGAATGGCAAAAGACTCTCAGTAGCCAAACAGGAGTCCGCTCCTTGCGAAGTTTCGCACGGCTCAATTATACAAGTTGGAAGTACCAAACTATTGTGCCATATTCATAATGGGAACGAAACCTGTGGCCATTGCGAGCCAGGGCTCGTTCAACATAATAGCGTTATGGAAGAAAACAAAACTTCTAAGAAGGACCTTCACAAACAAGAATTGAGGCGGCTGAAGTATAAGTTCGGCGTGGAAAAGGATAACGTTGCGACTGCGAGTCAAGTAGCATCAGGATATCAAGACAGAGCCCACAGCAGAAGGCAGTGTATTGGTTCTTCGAATCATCATGCTAAGACGCAACAAAGCTCGATGGACGTGTAAGTGATTTTATTATTATGTAGAATTTTATTGTACCTATTCTAAAATATTTTAAAGAACGTTTAATTTATATAAAAATAATGTTACCTCTTCCGAAAGTATTTTATTTTAATAATAATTTTATTCTTTGTTATTTTGCTTCTTTTACAGATCCATTGCAAAGGACAACAGAGGATTCAAGCTCCTTTCGAAGATGGGTTGGACCGAGGGTCAATCGTTGGGAAAAGAAGGAGATGGCCGAACTGAACCGGTGAGTCCTCGATTCTCTACTTATTCCTACTATTTGATTAAAAATTATACAATTTTTACTCAAACGACGCGTAACTGATATAATTTCAATTTATAAAGCGACAGTGTTTTACTGTTGTTCGACAAATAAAAATATGTTTCGAAGTATTTTACGCGTAAACAATTTTTTACTAGTAGATTTATGCGTATCTTCAATTTGTTACTTTAAAATTACTTCATTGTCTCTCTAAAAATATCTCTAAGCTCATCGTCCGGTTTTTCTCGATTAAAAAACCAACTGAAGAATTACACGAAAAAGTATCCATGTCTGCCTTCGACAGTTTGACGTTTTTAGCGATCTGGATTAATCGCGTCGCTCCAGCCATTATATAGCAACCGCGCTCGTAGTAGAGCTTCCTCTATAAAAAGATATAAACGACTTTTCTTCGATCTGACGCGGGCATCAGACGCTTTTTTCGTTACATTTTCGAGTAAACATTTATACAGAGTAAAATTATTGAAAAGATTTGAATTTTCGTTGGTGGCATTATTAAAAGAATCTTTTCTATAGAAATTTTGATTCATAACAAATTTTATTTATGTAAATTGTGGAAATGTTACATGGGCTTTGTCATATTTTAATTTCCATTGATTCCAGTGATTCATTTATTATAGAATGATTTAACTCATTGAAAGTAATGATTTAAATCTTGGAAGTAATTTCATTTTATAGAGACAACTTTAAGAAATACATGCTCATATTTTGTCCGACTTTAATAAACCGGCCCAAGCAATAGTTACATAGTTTAAACTACCCCTTAAATAGAGAATCAATGAATCCTCATTTAAATAAATTTTGTTCAAACAACAACTTTATTGTAGAAACATATCATATCAAATTTCTCTGAAGAATACACAATTTAATATTCATACTAATTAAATAATGCGTGGGCTCGTCGAGAGGTCCACGAATTCAATAGACTAACATCGCAAAATAACGTTTCATATTTCGTGAACGAATGAAAATTCAGCGAAACGATGACTTAAACCCCGGCTAATTTTGCATGGATTACGTCGTGTCTGAATTTGAACGATATCCCGAGTGCGGGACGCGAGGAATGATCGATTCGTCGCGGAACGACCCGTCGCATGCGATCGGTGGCATCCGCCCGTATCGTCGCAGCCACGAGATGAACGGATGACGTCAAACGGCAATTGCCTGCACGGGACGTTCCTCGTTTCACGTTTTGCCGTGGACTGGTCTCCGCGGAAGCTCGGTGACAGCACGTGTGTCCAATGCAAAAGGTGCATACAAACGCTGGGGCTGCGGCTGTGGCTGTGACGGCGGCGGCGCTCGGCCACTCATTAGCCGGACGGTCGCGCCGCTGCAATTCGCAATCCAGACTGCTTCGCCTTTTTCGCGCCACGCTAAAAACTCTCTGCTGGCTCTCAAACCCCCATCTCCTCCCCCTTGTGCCTTTTCTCTTTTGCTCCTGAGCCACCATCCGGCTGATCCGTCCGATTCGCACACGCACGCACACGCAGTGGCGTGGCCAGAAATTTCGCAGGGTGGCTGCGAATAAAAATTAACAGCTTTGCGAGATTTTACGAGGGAAGGTAGGGGAAACGTTTATTTGGACCTTTCGTGAGAAATTTAATTCACTTTGGGATTTATTTTTGGGACTGGCAAAATTTGTAGAGGATAAGGAGCGGGTGAAGTGGTATGGATTTGCAGTGATGGGCAAAACCCTAGGCTTCGAATAAATCTGAAGTTTGCCGACATGTTTGTCTCGTTTCCTCTTTTGAACATTTTCCAAAGAAGTAAACGAGACAAACATATTGGCAAACTTCAGATTTATTCGAAGTTTAGGGTTTTGCCCATCTCTGGATTAATGTACTAGGTGTAGAGATTAATTCTATGGATTTTGAAAGGGAAATTTGTCATTTATTTAAAAATGAAAACTGTACAATTTTTAATCTTCTCTCACAAGGGAATATATCCAACTGTCCGTCTCCGATTTTGATGAAACTTGGTGGATACATTAAGCAGGTGAAAATAAGGGATACGTATTTTTTTACAGCTGCCCAATCGCAAGTTTAGGGGTTGAAAAAGTAGGAGGCAAATGTATCGTATTATGTATCAATGGATTCGGAAAGCAATTTCCGTTCATTTTTGTCGTTATATACATTTTTGTATCTCTTAAAATAATGTAACAAAATTGTTTTTGTTATAAACAAATTACATTTTACAAAATCTGTGACCACTTTGTGTTTTACCTCATGAAACCATGAAACTTTTCTCTAAGAAGATTTCTTATACCTGTTGTAGTTTTCGAGATAGCATTTTTCTGCTGAAACTTTAAGGGGTGATTTCAACCCCTAAACTTGCGATTGGGTAGCTATAAAAAAAATACGTATCCCTTATTTTCACCTGCTTAATGTACCCACCAAGTTTCATCAAAATCGAAGACGGACAGTTGGATATGTTCCCTTGTCAGTTAAACATTCCAAGAGAACATATATCAAAGCAAGTATACTCTAATGTACCGAAATGTCAAATATTAAATGACTTCAATATTTAACGTCAAATACCAACATTTCCGATTGTTTTATGAAACCCATGGTCTCTGTGCATAAAATTGATAGTATAATCGTTGCTCAATGAAAACACAGGTCTCTCGCGAAAGATTTAAAATTCAACGAAAGAAGAAATGATTGTTCGAGTCCCCTAAAGTAGAATGGATCTTTAAAACCTTCCTCGGGGTACAACGATAAATTACCTTTACACCTGCGCGCGAAAAAGTATCACGGATTAAAAAAAAAAAATTGAATATTCGAGGAAGGGGGTGAGCAATGGCTCCCTCGCCCCCCTGGGCGCGCCACTGCACATGTACCAGCGCCGCGTGTATGTAAAAGCCCAGACTGCTCTGGGTCCTGGGCTGCTTACTCGTCCAGGCCGCATCGCATTTCGACGGCGACGAAACGAGCGCCGACGGCACGAGCAGAGCATTCGTATGATAACGAGCGTAACTCTGCGAGACATGAAACGGAATAGTAGGAAGGTGGGTGTGGAAGGGGGGGTCAGAGGGAGTTTGGGGCGGGAGAAACGAAAACGGGAGCAGCGAAGAGCGAGCAGCGAGAGAGGGAGGGAGGGAGAGGTGCCCGGGGGTAATGAATGCAAATGTATTGAAATCCAAATCATTATTTTGTCTAGACGCATCGTATGCTCTATTGCACGCTCCGAGCTTCAAGGAGGGGGGCACACGAGTCACGGGGGTTGGATTAAGGTACCGAGGGAAAGGGGACCCCGTTGTTTTCTCTCGTCTCTGTGTACCTTGAAGCGCGGCTGCTAATTTGCTTGTACCTTTATCCCTGTGATGTCCGACGATTTCTGCCTCTTTTTTTACTTCTTTTTTTTTTTGTCCCTTTGCCCAATTTGTCTGCGACGCCTCCTCCTCCTCCTCCTCCCTCCCCCCCGTGCTCCAATCCTCGGTGTCGCAGACGTCGGGACTTTTTACTGCGTTTTTCGCTTTCAAGTGAAACACCTTCATAGGGAGGACACCACGCTGGGGTGATAATGAATAATTAAGTCGACTTCGTTGTATCGCTCGATAAAATCAACTGTAGGATTATATTAAGATTAGCTTGCAGTTTTAAAAGGGCAAGGAAGAAAAGCTTGATTTATAAAGTAGTTGTATTGGATCTTAAAATAATGTAAATAATGTAAAGTGCATACAAGGAGGGATAATACATATTATGGTACTTTGTCCTCTTCGTTCGAGGCTGGTTGCAGTGTTTAATGAAGCAGTAGGTTTGTAACATTAAACAAACACTAAATAAAAAGCATTAAATAAAAATGCACACAAAATTAAAAAGTACAAGTATATACTTTTTGAAAAGTAATATTTTACTTGCCTCATACTATTGTCTGTCATTATTCGAGAGTTTATTACAATTATTTCCTAACTTTAGAGTTTATTCTTCTTTTTATAGTTTCGTTTTATTAAGCAACGGTCTAAAGTTCAGTTAATTATTCTTTATCGTTACATTTCTACTTTGAAATTTTATGGTTCTCCTCAGGTACAATCAACCTTCAAAGCTTGTAGTACAAAGCTATAGTATCTCTTGAATTCGTTAAGAATGAAGATGATACAAAGGAAATTCTTTAATTCCTAATCAGAGATCTACGTATTAATCAATTAATACGTAAATAAAGTTCTGTAAAAAATTGTTTACTGCCAACTACTGCAATTTTTCGTTAATAATACACGGTATCGCGCGAATAAACTAATATAATGATCGGTACTGGACACAATTACAAATGAAACCTTAAAAAAAGTAAATACAAACGTGTGCATACATTAACAATTCTAGCAAATGAAGGTATAAAAGAAAAGTGAATCCTTTGATTCCATTCTGTCATATAACCAGCGCCTGCTGTAGTTCCTTCATCCTATCAATAAACAAGGCTATCAATAATCGAGGGTCAACGATGAAATCGTCGCCGGTGACGTTTCGCGCGATTTTAAGCGAACAAATTTCATTTAATCGAGGCTCTCTTCGCGGCTCGGTCGCTTTACATCGCGGCTATTGCAATTTTACACGGACCTTTTGCTTTTACGCGTCGCGGATGGGGGGGCTCTTTGTCGAATGCACCGCCTGCATCGTAAACTGGAAACACGGTTGCAATCGAGGGGTTGGAAACCTGGATGCGAAACGAAAGAAGACGAAAAGGGGGTTGCTCGTCGCAGTTGAGGGAGAGAGAGAGAGAGAGAGAGAGAGAGAGAGAGAGAGAAAGAGAGAGAGCTTACACTCGGTTGGAGAGTCCGTAAACCAGACATTGTAAAGCTCTCGAATGGCGATTGCCAGTAAACCACGGGGATGCGATAAAGTATAAAATTGTCGCGCGTAGTATGAAAGTGCCGTTAGCAGGTGTAGGTGGTGCGTGTCCTATCTGACCGGGTGAAACCTCGGCACGTTCATTTATTTAAGTGCACCAACGCTTTTATTATCGACGCTGGC